ATTAACTGGAAATTCACAATGCATCACACTGCTTGTGTATACTTTGATGATACTTTTCTTTACATCTTAAACACAAACTTCAATATACTTTATTTACCAACACACATCATTTTGAGGTGATTTAAACTAAAATATTCCTTTTTAAATATTTTAAAGAAAACAATCTGAAAAATGTGGCAGACCTTTACATTCAGTCCCTCTAGATTCCAAAATAAGTTTCGGAGTCATTTCCCTGCTGGTAAAAGAAAAATCTCTGCCCCAGCCTAAGGTATTTATACTACTGAACTGGAAATCTTTGCAAAGCTGCTGACCTGTGTGGATCATTCATGTGTAAAATGAATACCAACTTAAAATAAAACTAGCCAAAAGTTCAACATGTGCACTTATCTGTAGACAAGATTTAAAAAAAAGTTTTACGTTCTCTCTGTGACTACAAAATATCTTATCAGTACTGGAACCCAAGCAGATTTTGTAATACTTGAATGCATATTCAATCATTTTGTGTATGAAAATCGCAACCAACCAAATTCCAAGTTTTGTGTTTATAAATTTGTTTTGGAAAGTTTGTTAATCTTAGAAAAGCAAAAGGAAAATGTAACCAATGTTTTGGTGTTGAAAATATTAAATATTTCTATTTCAGGTAATTGTGAGTCTAACTTTCAGGTTGAACACTTAAAAAATAATGTGTAAATATTTCTACTTGAGGTAAGAAATTCTCTGATCTATTGATTCTGCTCTTGAGTTTTTAGCATAATAAGCCTCCTGCTCCATACCGCCCTCTTTAAAAGGCTTCAAAGGGACCCTGAGGCTAGAACTGTGGCCAAAAGCATTGTCTGCAGCTCTGGCTTCAGATGAATCTCACAACTGCTGTTTCACAGTATCATAAAAAAGAAGAAATCCCCCCCCCACCCAGAACATTGTATCATTAGGATAAATCTTTTTAAAATACAAGTTGATAAAGAAATGATGCATAGGTACATCCCCTTACTGAAAACATAATATATTCTTTATTATTTTGGCATTATATGAATGGTGCTATTAATTTACTTTGTATACCTTTTACAAGCCAGTTTTGCTTTCATTCTGCTTCACCTCCCTCTGGGCTCCTGAAATCCGATCTGTGTGTTTCACGGTGCATTCTTCCTCTCCCCTCCTCCCATGTGCATGCCAGAGCCCTCAGCTCTGCCCTCTGTCAGATTTCAAGCTTCTGCAGACCTACAGCAAATTGTTGATTTTGTTAGACATGGAGGAAACACGGATGTGCCCTTCATTGGCTTCGTGATTTAGTGCTGAGCCACACTTCAGTGGGATGTATATTTGAAATAGAGACCTCTCTTACAGGAGGTTTAGTGTCATTTTCAACAACTAGTCACCTCAAAGGACACTCAAAGGATAAGGTTTTATATATTTATATATGTATATATACGTGTGTGTGTGTGTGTGTGTGTGTGTGTGTGTGTGTGTGTGTGTGTGTGTGTGTGTGTGTGTGTGTGTGGGGGGGTGTGTGTGTGTGTGTGTGTAGGTGTGTGTGTGTGTGTGTGTGTGTGTGTGTGTGTGTGTGTGTGTGTGTGTGTGTGTGTAGGTGTGTGGGTAACGCATAGTATACCATCACAACTTCATCTGCCAAGAAAAATAAGCTTTTACTTTAACTTTAACAATAATTTTACATTTTCACTTTAACTTTCTATCTTACAAAAACTTAGTAGGCTTTGAAAAAAAATATAAGGTACAAGAGACATCAAGTCCTCTTTTATTATCATTTCTTTAAATGTTTAAAAATTTTATACCCACAAACTTCAAGCAGACTTAAAACCCTAAATATAACCCAGTACTCTTCGTCAGGACTCCCTTAAAAAACCCTTTGACATTAAATATATATTTAATATCAATGTTTTTTTGTTGTTTTTTTATCCTTTTAAAATAAAGGTTTCAAATAAAGGCAACCTAATTATTAAATGAATGTGTACTTTAATCTAAGAATAAATACTGTGTGAATACCCCAGAAGTTTAGTGAGCCTTGGTGAACAGAAAACATCATAAAAACCAATGAACACCACAAATGTGTCAGGAATAAAGTTGTGGAGAAGTATAAAGCAGAATTAGGTTATAAAACAATATTCCATGTTTGAACAGAAAATGAAAGCATATGGCACAACTGCAAACCTAGAAAGACATTGAATAGACTACAACTTTGACAGGGAATGAAGGAAGGAAGCAGCAGTTGCCAGTAGTAACTTTGGAGCTGCAGATTCACTGCTCAGGTGTGAGAATTTGTTGCCAAGGCATCTAGTAGTTGTACACTCCACAAATCTGACCTCTGTTGGAGTAAAGGCAAGAGGAGTGCCAAAGAAAGCCACTTGTGAAACAAAGCCGTTTAAGGTCACAGTTTTGCCACACAGGGGTATGACGTTCTTGATGTCAGTCAAGATGTCAGTCGAGATCAAAATTTGACTTCTTTAGAATGGCCTAGTCAAATACAGACCTAAAGTCAAATTAGAATTAGCGATGTGGTGTAAAACTTGCTGGCTATGGGCCCTCATTGAATTTGAAGAGTAGTCCTACAATGACTCAGGAAAAACAATTACAAAAGAACATCATACTTTTCAAATGTTCATTTGTAAAACTATTTAACATCCTGCACCATCTTGTTTCAAACTTGTTTGTTGTTTTAAGTTGGTCTATTCCAAAAAAAAACTAATGAAATGAAATAAAGTTTATTTAAATATTAACAAGTACCGCTAAATATTGCTACACAAGACAGGAAGCATTTTTTATAACCCTTTGAAACATATGGCATACTGTGGTAGCCAGCTGAGTAATATAATTTCCTTTTCAGGATATATGAACAAAGGGAGAATTGTGAACTAAACAGAGATGGAGAAGAAAAAATGGTAATTGAAGTGAATGATTGTGTGGTCATTGAAATGACTCATTTGCCTGGCTCAGTGTTTAACTGTAACATCACAGCTTATCAGTACACCACAGGCTGAGTGACATTTTTCTATACCAGAACCACAAAGCTAGGGTTATGTCAGATTGCCACAAGTTCAAAGAGACCTTGAGAATATTTATGTGAAACCCTGGAGATGTCCCGCTGCTCTTTTTGGAGGATGGTGGAGTTCTGAAGTGCTGGGGTTGTTTGTGGTGCTCTGGGTCTGTAAGTCATTCTCAGCCGGAGGAGAGGTTGAGGTTGGAATGTCAGCCGGGGTCGGGTCAGAGATGGAAACCTCTGGAACAGGACTTGAGGAAATGACTCCGAGAGGATCCAGTTCGCTGAAGCCCCACAGAGATGAACAGGTCACAAGAAGTTCTAAACTAATTCAGAACAAATCAAATATCATTGAGATGTCTGGAGAAAAATGATTTGTACCGAGGTGGAGAAATAACATGTTTATTTCTGCAAGATCGAACACAAAACATTAAATTTTCACATCAGAGAAAAAGTCACAGATTTCATAAAGCTACACATTATGGCAACAGATAATTCAAAAAGTTATGTCATTTCAAAAAAAAAAGCACCTGCAAAAAACAAAACAAAAACTAAGCTAAAATATATATATAATAAAAAGGCAAAAATAATTGTATATGGGATCACCAACCCTGACTACTCTTAGTTACTTCTCCTCCAAAAGTCACTCTTAGCTGCCATCTGCTGGTTATACTTTAGGTTTATTGACTGTTTCTTAACTTTTAGTTTGAAAAGTCAAGACCAGATTGGCATTTCCTCAAGAAATGAGACAAACTTGAACAATAAATCATCTAAAACATGCCCACTCATTTAAAACAGTGGGGGTTTACAAGAGATTAGTTGGAAGGGAGAACATTGTTAGTGTCAGCAGAGATCTATACTCTCAGTGCATGTTCATGCAAAAATGACTTTGTTCTCAAAAGTGCCCACACAAATTGTGCAATTTCCTATTAAAGAAAGGGTTCTTTGTACATCTTAAGACTCTAAACTATGTTTCTCAGAGCAGAAGAAGAACAAACTTCTAAAAACATGCATTAAGAGTTTTTTGTAGACTAAACGTTGTAAGGACTTTCATAATTTTCACCATCCCGTATTAAATTCAAAGCTAAAACCAAAATACCTGATAATAAAGTTGGATTTAACTCAGAGTCAACCTGGAATCTGCCCTAAGCAGTTGCAAACTTTGCACTCAAAACCTCAGTGGTCTCCATTCTTTATAAGATACAATTTCCTCAAAAATTTTTATTTTTTAAGATCAGTCTAAAGTATTCATTCCCTTTGCATTGTTCCCATTTTATCATATTGGAACCAAGAATTCCCATAAAATACATAAACTTTTCTGGTTGTAACTCAATAAAACATGAAAATGCTCAGGAGGAATTAAAACTTTCCCCGTTATACTGAAAATGCATGATCCGTTTTTATTGCTGCATGATCAAATTCAGCTTGATGTTAGTGGTTCAGTTAGCTGCCCAATCAAAACGTGAAAGTAGAAACAAGAGAAGTTTTTGTTTGAAAACTCAAGACTTTTATAATACAGACTGCATAGGGTTAGGGCTTTTTATGTGCTGGATTTTATTGAACAGACTAAGAAAATGTGTAGTGATTTTTATAATAATTAGCTTTATCAGGACATAAACAACTTCCGATGAAAATTTATAGATGTAGAAGATTTAAAGCATGCGGCATCATTGTTACTCATAGCAAGCAATGAGTATTTCCACAGTTGAACTGGGAACACATGAGATATTAAACAGCTCCAAGCTTAAAACAGTTCATGTCCGTTGCAACTTTATGAGCATTATTAAAACGCATGTTATTCTATTTTAAAAAATCGTGCTGAATGCGCAGTTAGAAAGGGGACAGTGAAGTTTTAGGCAAAGTTAATAAAGCACAAGTCGACTTTGAGGCCAATTTTCACATGCACAACAGTCGGTTTGCAGACGCGTAGGTTGGAAGAACCCTCAGCTTGTTAACCACTCTGTGATTGGTCCGGGCCGAGTCAAGGCGGAAGTCTACAGAGCAGGGGGATTCCCCGAGGGAAGTTCCCAACTCAAACTGGGGCTATGTAAAACATACAGCGCCATATCCTCTCCAGCGCTTCGTAACTTTGCATCTGAAGATTAGGGCGACGATGCTGCGGTGGTGTCAAAACAACAAATACGACTTAAATAATAGGGGACTCAAGTGAAGGTAAGGAGGACGCTCTCTGACACGCAAACACACTCACACCGGCGGAGCGGCGGATGGATCTGCCGAGTTGTTGCTCGGTCGCCTTACTGAAAACACCGGCTAATGCAGATCCAGTTAAAAGAATACGGAACTATTCAAAGCACTCTTTAAATGTCACTTTGTAACCAGTTGGAGATGTGTCCCGGATGGTTTTAGCGTAAGTTTTGTTGTATATTTCTCATTCACGTTGCAGCAGGTCCTACTCCTGGAACTGTTTGTATGGCGTGTCATTGATAGGCAGTTTTAACTGTGGAGACTGATCAATAAATTATATAGTTTTCACATTATTACCAGTTTTTGAGTCCGCAGCTGCACATTTTGAGCTGTAGCCTACTTGTCTCAAAGTCGATTAAATGTGCGACAATCGTTGATAAGAAGAAAAGAAAACAATGTAAAAACTGTGTATCTGCACAATTAGTGGTATCAATTATTTATCATTAGTTTGTTGAGGCTCTGTTATTCAATATCTGTCACATTCATTCTTTTAACTGTTTCACATTTGACCAAATTCACATAGTTGTAAGGAGATAGTAAGATTACACAACCAGGGTTGGTAGACTTTTTATTATTGCAACATTTAGCTTATTTTAGCCTGTCAATACATTAGGCAACGCTTTAAAGGTTAATTCCCCCATTGTTCTGTTATTTCACCGTGTACAAATGCAAACTAAAACGTCACAAAGCAGGAAAATGCCACTCAATCTGCAGATTTTACTGGTGAAAATGTTTATAAGCAGTTGTTTTCAATTATATAGGGCTCATGCCTGCCGTGACAGTGATGACAAGGCATGGACAGGAATATTGGAGACCAGCTAAACAAAGCTTTTGAAGCTTATCGCCAGGTCTCCATCGAAAAGGACAATGCTCAAAAGGAGTTGCAAAAAATGGTAAGCAAATGTTTGGTCAAATGGGCTTGGTCTTTGCCGCTGCAGCGCAAGTGTTGCATTAAAAGAGCACTATGTCAGAGAGACTTTGTAATGTTGTGGATTTAAGTGAGGCTCACAGCCCTGCCAAATTGCCAGGTTTTTGTGTTAGAAAAAAAAAAAAAAAAAAAAAGGTAATTATAAATAAGTTTAAAACCTTTCATTTGATAGGACATACTTTGCGCAACTCAACGGAAAAACAAAAACTAAACAACTAATCCGATGGCAAAAAATATGTACAAAAGGATAATAGTTCTGTTAAACTGGGGAGCGTTAAACAATTATTTTGTTCGTGTATCTTTAGAAATTTGAACAACTGATCAAATAGTGCTCATTGTAAAAATATATCAGAAAAAAATCCACCAAAAAGTTTATATTATTAGTAAAGCCTAAAATCATTCATACTTCTTATATAGAGGGAGAGAGAAATTAGAGTGATGGTAAAGAGGCCTTCCAACCTCAAAAGACTTGGAGCTTATCACCAAGCAGTGTCCAAATATGAGAGGAAACATGCAAAAACATGGTTTGTAATTATAACAGGGATTTTATTGCTGGGATACTAATACCCATTTTTCTACTGACCGTTGAAAATAATATGATAATTTTAAACATAAGACATGTTTTTGTAAAATACAAAAGGACACATTATTTTGAAAATCAATTCTCTTTTTTCAATGTTTTGTTTTCTTCTGAGATTTCTCTTTTATTTCCTGTCATAAACAAATGTCTTGGTGGAATGAAAACTGTTTTTAATCTATGTCTGCCAGATTTGAAAGATTTGGGCTGAGTTGTGTATTCAGCGGTCCAGTAAAGTCAGGCGTAAGTAGTTGGAGAAATACTGTAAACAGCAACAGTATCATTAGTAACCTGGCTAAAATAAATAGTCTCTTGGGAGAGTGTGAAACATGGGGGGGAGCAGCATCTTGATCTGGAGTTAATTTAAATAGGACTGAGTTGGTTTTTAAAATCAAAATAAATTAAACTACATATTCTCCTAGAAGTAAAAATATTTTGCTGTTTTTTTTTTTGGTCAAGTTGGGACAGGACATATGTCATATTAAAGATTGAAAAAGTTTAATGTTTCTTTTTGTCATAAAAACCTGGTATTGTTAGCTTTATTTAACAGGAATGTGTATGATTGTCAGCATTCTCTTGTAAAAGAGATCTTTAATGTTGAGGAGTTTTATCCTGGTTAAATAAAGGTTGAAGAAGAAGCTGTAGAACTCTGAAAGCTACTACATTGTTGTTGTGTTTTGTGTTTGAAATGATGATTTTTAATATTGATGAAATGGCTCACTGCCCAGGGTACAGTTTGCGTTGAGGGCAACACAAAATCTTCCGAGTGTGGGGTGAGAGAGGTTTGTGTTTTGCTTCCCAAATTAAATTTTATACAGCTTATAGACCTTCCAGTGAGTGGAGAGTAGGCACCTCCCACTGAGCTGCTTGTTGCTAAGAATTGAGAGGGAAAGGGGTTGGGCTGAGGGCACAGAAGGAGAGGTTCAACCAGAGCTTTATTTATGCAAAAACTGCCACAGTGTGTGTTTGCTGTCTGAGGAAATAACAGACCCCATGTGTTTACAGAAGGAACATTATGAGCAGTACACTCAAGAACTTAAAAAGCAGATAGAAGACCAGCAACGTTTGATTTCTGATCTTGAAACTGAGTTGTCAGCAACAAGGCAACCCTCAGGTTAGTCTCTGTGACTATTTATCTTTGAATTGTGTTATATTTTGGAGCTACATTCACAAACTGTAACCGAATCAACTTTATTCTTTTCCACCCAGTACTTTGTCGTACTGATCAGTTTTATGTGACTCTTAGGAGAGATGAAATGTGAGCCTCGCAACCATCTTCTCAAAGCGGCTGCCTCTAGTAGGAAGACACAGTACCGGGTATGTTCACAGCCACAACTTTATAGCTCTTCCTACTTCTTCTGTTTGTAAAATTAAGGATATGCATCCTGTAGCTCACAGCTTCCTCTCTGTGTGCAAAGAGTTTAAAGGCACTCTACTTAAATTCCATCTTGTTTTGTCTAGGGAAGAAAATTGTACCTGCAATAAACAGCATCATTTGTACGATGTGTAAAATAAAGTTAGCAAATGATCCCAATGGTAAAAGAAGGTGGTGTACCCTCCTTTATAGCTATTTGTACCACTATAGTCTAAATTGTTCATGTTTTTAACAGTAAAACCAGACATTTTTGCAGTAAAGATAAAAATATTTTCTTTCATTATTATTGTGTACACAAGTTTGATCTAAATCAAACTGTGCAGGAAATTTGACCCACTCTTCTTTGTAGGATTGTTTTGATTCAGTCGTATTTGAGGGTTTTTGACCATGTTAGAGGTCATGCTATAGCATCTCAGTTCGGTAAAGGTATGAGCTCTGCCAGAGCTAATCCAATGGTTATGGAGCTTTTTTTTTTTTTGTCTAGTTGTCCAGATCCTGAAATATGAAATCTTTTGGCCTACTTCATTTTGTCAGGCAGATTCTAATGAAATCATTTCTTGCAGGTCTGGTATTATTTAGGTCGAGGTGTGGCTAGTGAAATTGTCATCGGTTAGTTAGAGAATTTGTTTCACAGTAAACACAGTAAACTTATATACAAAGAAAGGCTCATCTCTTTTCATATATGACCAGTTTGTTTTATCTAGCTAAAAAAATGAATTCAAAACTGCTGTTTTTATGTACGGTACTCATATTTGTGTGATATTAAAATTAGTTTTATGATCTTAAACATTACAGCAAAAATTTTAAAGATCTGTATGGGGATACGTACTTTTTCACAGCACTGCAAGAGACTTGTTTTCCATCCAGTGTTTGCATGTGTCCTGTTGTGTCTGTCTGGTTTTGCTTCACCAGATGGTGCTAGAGGATAATAACTGCTCAGTGCAGCAGCTCCATCTTTGCTTGGTCTTCAGTAAGCCAGGAAACAGTTTTTTTTTCCCCCACTCACACTCATGCATAAATAAAACGGCACATGCATCAACAGCCTGCCCTTTGGATAATTGTTGTTAATGATGACTAAAAAAAAATTAAATGTGATTTTTCTTTTTTTCCTTTTTTCTTTCTTTTTTTTTCAGGGGAATGTGGCCACTGTTGCTGGTGCTTCAAATTTGACAGTCAACAGCAGCTCTGATTAGTACGTGTCTCTCCTCCTAAAGATTTCTCTTTTTTTCTGTAACTGAGCTGACAAATGTTTTTTTTTTTAATGTCTAATTCATTTATGCATTTCTTGGGGTCAGTCAGGACATGTTGGCGGCATTTGAAGCAATTCAGGGCAAATTCCGACAGATCCAGACCCTGACTTCAAAACAGAAACATCATCTGAAAAGATTCCATGGAAGTTACGACAACTCAAACGGTAATATTGACAGTAGTTTTGCACAGTTTAAGCTGAAATGCTGTTCTTGGAATTTATCTTAATTAGTTGCAATGGATGCTATTGTGAATTGGGTTGTATAGGTCATACAATAATTTTGTTTGTAAATGTCAGCTCAGCTGATGAGTGTATTAACTTTTGCTCTCTTTTTAAAAAAAAAAAAAAACTCTTTAACTATAAATGGCTGATTATACCTCAAAGATGGTATGGAAAAACAAATCTAATCATCCCAGGGAGAAATGGTGGCACTTTTCTTTGAAATGTGACTGTTTGGTTATTTTTAATCACACCGACAAGTGTTTTCTTTGACATTCATACTAAAGATTGTGATATTTAAGTGTTTTGAATAAAACAAAGTTTTGTCTAAACTTTTCTAACTTAGTTTTTAATAAATTAAAAATAAATATTTTTTTTTTCTCAAGTGGTAGTATTAAATGCCCAAAGATGCCCAAAATGTAATGTCAAACTATTTCCCCCTTATAAATACAACCTTCCTAAAATGCAATTTGTCCGCCTCCATCTCATCCATTTGCTTGGATGCCGCAGCTTTTTTTCCCTTTCGTTCACACACTCTTGACTCTGCTCAGCTGAGGCTAATTCATGCTCTGAGAACCCTTTTGTCTGCTGCGTCGGACCGAGCAGACACGCTCACTTTTTCAGTCACTGTTGCTAAATTATGAGGCAATTTAAAATCTTGGCTTATTTAAAGGAAGGGGGGTGAGGGGGGATTTTGGAGAAAAAAAAAATATTGTGATCTTTTTGACCTAATTATAAAACAAAAATTTTTTTTGCAGAAAATTCTCAATTTTTTTTAATTTATATTTTCTCCTAATCTACTTACTCCTGTAATAATTAATGAATGTGAAATCACAGTGAATCTCCTCAAACGGTCTCTTCTTAATGCAGACAGCACACATGAAATTAAATACTTCAAGCTCACTGCCTTGGAGCAGTATACATCTTGGACCTATGGCGTTTCTATGTTACACAACAAATTTTAACATTTTATTGAGATTGAATGTTACCAACAGAACATTTTGCATAATTATGAATCAGGGAACTTCACAATCATGCAAATTATTTATATATATGAAAACGTTTGAAATTTATATTTGAAATGTTGGAACAGTGTGGTGCTTTTTTCAGACTTTATTCCCAATCCTGTTATTTTATACTTCAAAGATGGTATACAATAACCATCTCTACAAAGTCTTTTAAGACTTTTAAGAAGACTTTGTAGAGCTTCATCTATCATCGAGAGACTAAAATTTCTGCCCATTGGTATTTGTGAAGTACCTCAAGCTCAGTCAAATAGGATGGATGGCATCTATTAGGTTTTGTGACGGATTTGGATTTAAGCTGGGTCTTAATCCATTCTAACACATTAATTTTATGGTTTTTACCTGTTCCTACCTGTTAAAAGGTGAATCTCAACTTTTGTTTCAAGTCTTTGACATTATCTAATTGTCTTTAGCCTCATCTATCCTCTCTTTTTCCCATCAAGTCTGATTAGGTTTGTTGTCCCCACTGAAGAAAAGCATCTTTGCAGCATGATGCTGACGCTACCGTGCTTCACTGTAGGGACTATTTATTCAGGGTGATGTGTATCTTTGCAACCACTAAACAGTTCCAATAGACCTGTTTGTGATTAATGTCTATCTTCCCGGTCCATCTGTTTGGACTGTAAGTGCTTGCCATTTGTTGTGCATAGAAGTGTTGTTAGGTTCTGCCTTTTTCTGATGATTGCTTGAAGAGGACTCCAGGAGATGTTCAAAGCTTGGAATACTACAACCTAACTTGGCTTTAAACTTCTTCACAACTTTTTCCCTGACCTGTCTGCTGTACTTATTGGTTTCACAATGCTGTTTGTTCACTAATGTTCTTTTACAAACCTCTGAGGCTTTCACAAAACAGCTGGAGTTATACTGACCTTACACAGAATGACTATTTATTAATTAGGGTGCTCCTAATTAATAAGGTGTGGCTTATTAATGTGTTCTCTGTGTCAGAGAAATGGGAGCTGAAAACATGTTTGATTTATATTTGTAACCAAATTTGAAAACCACATAATTTTCTTTCCTCCGTTTGCTTATAGGTTTTAGTTTGTGGCAATCCTGCAAACTAAAAATGGAAAGTTTTGTGGGTTTGAATACTTTTTCAAAGCAAATGAAACACAGTGAGCATTGGCTGATTAAAAAATGTTATTTCCACTTAGATTTAGTTTTCAAAATAGAATGAAGATTGAAATAGTTTTATCTTGTTCCAACCATATGGAACAGTTAAACCAGAAAACGACACTGGTAAGGCAAGCAAACCGAATAAGAGTAAAAACAAGTAATACATTTTAATATTTTAATTTTAAGCCAGCTGACCAGGGGAGGCTGGTTGGATGATTTGTTGGATAATTCAACATGGTTTTTCAAAATAGTCCGTGCAACAAATCTAAACCTAATAGCAGCCTGATGTATTTAGTGTTACGTTTTTAAAACGTTGTGTTCTCTAAAAATTCTCAAATTTCTATTTCAAATTTCACCAGCATGCTGACTTATAAAAAATAGAAACGCTAAACATCTCTTGCTTTCCTCTCACCTCCCAGACCAGCGCTTCTCCATGCCCATCCAGTGCACGGATGGAACCGTAGAAGATGAGAGGCCCTTTCCTACACCTCTGAGGTTAACTGCGGACCTCCCTCACCTGTCTGCACCCTTGGCATCTCGTGGCACTAGTCAGGAGGACAGAGACTTGGTAGACTCTCTCACCAAACTCAGTGTCAAATTCCCGCCCCCCACGGACAGTGAATATGACTTCCTGAATAGTGCTCCTGAGAGGAACATTGGCCTGCCGGTGGCTCGAAAGCCGCCCCTCGGCTCCCCCACGCTGCCAGAGGAGGAGCCCGTGGAACTGCCTTTGCCTTTTGTCCATTCCACGTCCCCCTCCCACTCGTCATCCTCCTCGCCCTCCCATGAGAGCGTGCGGGGACCCGAGCAGGTGAGAAACAGAGAGGAAGGTCTGAGAAAAGTAGTAGCAAATTATCAGTTTCTGATTGGTCTCTGCTAATGGAGGAGTAAAACAGTGAGAAGCCCAAAAATATCTCCCTGGCTAAACATATTACCGTGCGATGTGTGCCGATTCCTTCTTTTTTTTTTTTTTTTTTAACTTGAGCATGGTTGCTCTGCTTATAATTGGCATGTTGGTTTGAAATTGAGAGCCAGATGGAAGCAGTTTAGATCAAGTATGATGGTTTGTTGGGTTTTATTGCTGATGTGTGTAAATGCTTATAAAGTAATTGTGAATTATGTACAGTAAGATCTAAAAGTTAAATTTTTTTTAACCACTACTCCTACAAATGCATGTAAGATAGAAATAGCTGTTTTTGTTAGTTCAGACAAAGAGGGAGATAATTAAACACTTGAGAATTATGTTGCTTTTCTTTGCCGCTGCTGTTCATGTTTTCTCTCTAATGGAGTAGGAAGTTATACCTTACACAGCTTGTTATTACTTCAGTGAGGTGTAAAAATACCCTAATTTCCTTTTATTTATCCCACCCTGCAGCCCCTGTGGAGCCCCGAGCTGTGTGACGCCGTTGACAGGGGAGCCAACCAGGAGCCTCCGAGCAGCTGTCCCGTTGAATGCGCATTCTGTCCCGATTTAGTTCCCCAGAACCTCATGACAAGCCATCTTTACTTGCACTTCTTGCCAAAGAAGGAAGCAGAGAATTGACAGCAGACTGACAGGCAAAGGTCCGAACTTACTTCAAGAACTTTTGACTGTTTTTATGGTCTTTGCAGGCGTGAATCTGCTCGCCATAAACTCCAAAGCGCTGTACAGGAATTGAAAATTACACTGCTATAAGACTTGAATTCATTTATTTAATACTGAAGAATTTAATGGTACACGTTCTTGTCCATACTGATTTTCTAAAATCACACTGAGAATTTACAGTGATGCATATGGTATATATGAGGAAATAAACAATATATTTACTCTTGGCAGTTGTTATAGTTTGATTTGTTTTCAACAGCCAGATTTGAAATTTGATTATAAAACATATGTTCAACATATAATAACTTACAAAATGTCATGTTAAGGAGCCACTAACTGTAAACAACTTGCAATCATTTTCTTCTTTTCCGGGATGGTTTAATCCCATCCTACTGAATCCTGATCAACGATGAATTTTTATCAGTAATGAGATAACTTTGAGATCAGTTTAAACTATTTCATACCATGTCTTCATGAAGTTGCAGCTCAAACCAATTTTGCATTTTTACATTTTTAACTATTTTGTATAGAAGTATTTATTCCTTTTAACGCGTTTTTCTATATTCCTACTCTGTTGTTGTACTTGCATGTTTCACATTATCAATCAGATTTTAATGTGATACAACAATAACCTGACTAAGAAAAAATTGGTAGTTTTCCAATTATGATTCTAATTGTTCAATTTAATTTTTGGAAAACTGATTTTCATTCTGCTGGCATGTGTCTGGACACCCATGTCTGGTTACTGCCAGATCTTTAGAATCAATAGATGACTTAAATAAAACGTGTTTAACAAGAAGTCTGACCCAGGCTAAACTATCTCAAAAAGCAAGACACAATGCTCATTTCAAAAGAAGTTCAAAAACATGTTAGACAATAAATGATTGTCATCTATCAATCTGGAAATGGTACTAAACCCATGTTTAAAGCTTCAAGGCTTCAGCAAGCTACAGTGGGATTGATTATCCACCATTGGAGAAAGCATGTTACAGTAACAACCCCCCAACCACCCACCCACCAAGAATGACTGGTCTACAAAAATTACTTCAGGTTTCCCACTCCGACTCATCTAGTAGGACATTAAACAACTCAGATCAACATCCAAAGCACTCCACATCTCACATGCCTCATTTAAGGTCAGTATTCAAAATGAAGGGTTTGGTGTGGCCTAGACAAAGTTCAGAGCTAAGTCTGATTGAGATGCTACTGCATGGCATTTACCACAACATTCCTGGTTGAAAAGCCATTCAATGGTGTCCAATTATAACAATTCTGTAAAGAAGAGTAGGCAAAAAATATCTTGTTGCTACCAAGGGAGATACAATCAGTTATTAGGTTTTGGGGGCATTTTTTCACATTGAACAAGGTCAATTTTTATTGTATTTTAATCTTTAAAATGATATAATTTGAACACTATCTTTTGCATATACTCAAGTTATCAGTCTGATATTAAAATCTGATTGATGAAATAAAAATTATATGATACAGTTAAAGTCATTGATGTGAATAACATGTTCAGAATGACATTGGAGCATTATTTTTTTTTGGCAGTAGCTTAATTTCTCACAAAGACGTTTTATTTTAGCGCACTTATTTTATCAGAATAAGAAAAAAAATGTTAACACATTATTAAGTAAATGTAACCAAAAATGTATATATATATATATATTTTTTGCAGATTTGCTTTTCACTACCGAGACACATTTTGTTCATATTCAATATGTTCCTACTTCCCTGGGGCAAAAATAGGACATATTCTAGAAGCCCATTTTTTTATCCACTCTTCAAAATGGGAAAGATGAGAAAACCTTCAATTCAAGATAGGCTTCATGTGGATATTCATAAGTTATGAAATGAAAATAGTTAAACTTGCCCATATGTACAGTCAGAGCAATAATTAAAAAGTTTATCAGTGAAACTGTGACAAGCAAGGCTGGAAAAGGACCCATGTTTACTTTGCAACCACGCACAGTGAGGAGGACGCTAAAAAAGAAAAAGAAATCTTCAAAGCTTAGAGATCTGCATGAAACTTGCAGTGTGCGACTGTACTATTGCAATGAAAGATGGACTTGTTCCAAGTCTTTTTTCTGTATAATTCTTAGAGTGACAATTGATGGGGAGGAGGCTATATTTAAAAGGTTTAAGCTGCTTTATCGCTGTACCTAACCAAGCATACTTTAATTTCTTTGGGTTATTGGGGTTGGTAAATATGTCAACTAATTAATAAAGTGCATTTAAACCAAACACATTGTACCAAAAGTATTTACTTTGATCTTTTTAACCTTTTCATACACAAGTCAAAAACACAAATAGCTAAAAAAAAAACCCAAATAAAACCCAAAACAAACAAACGCAAGACAAAACTAATACAGAAATAAATAATAAGCTATATTTAAATTCAGAAACCACAAACTGTAGGCTGAAGTCCTGTTCAACAAAATTAACTAAAGGCACTGAAACAAGAAAATGAGAAGATATGAAGTAGGAATAAATGAAGGAAAACGAAAAAATTAAACAGATTTAAGCTTCCAGTTTATAAAATACAATTAGCTTGACAGAGTTATGCAGGAGTATAAAACTGTACTACAAATAAAAAGCAATTAAAATGGTATGCTTTTTTTAACTTCTCAATTAGATGTCTGGCATTGTTGACTAAGAATTTTTTGCATGAACCATTTACCATGCAGTTTGAGAATTGTTGAGGAAACATTGTTGCTCAAGTTACAACAAATGTCTATACATTCATAAATGTACTTTTTATGTTTCTGATTAGAAAATCCAGAGTAAATGTTTACATTTGGAAAAATTGTAAGAAAAGATATTGGTGGCAGCATAATGCTGTGGGCATACTTCTCTTCAGAAGGAAAGATAACCCATCCGTCCGTCCATCCGTCCGTTTGTCCATTCTTCCATCGTACAGTGACCATAGACAGACAGACAGACAGACAGACAGACAGACAGACAGACAGACAGACAGACAGACAGACAGACAGACAGACAGAGAGATAGATAGATAGATAGATAGATAGATAGATAGATAGATAGATAGATAGATAGATAGATAGATAGATAGATAGATAGATAGATAGTTGTTGGTTTTTTTTTTTTTTTTTTTTTTTTTTTGGCAAATACATATCCCTAATGATCCTGTCTCCTTAATCTGTGAACAGCCGAACACTGTACAGCCTGCATGCTTTTCTCTCTGGGATCATGAACAGCTGCTTGCTCATAATTATGTTGTCATCCGTTGTTATTTGGAAGAGGGAACTCATACTGACAGCTAGATTATTTTTGTGGGGTTGTGTGTATTTCTGTGCACCACATTCACCTATTTCTATATACAGTACTGTGGACTGTAATGGGCATTGTTATGGCTATCATTTTCTGTAAAACATAGATCCATCTCCCTTCTTACTTTAGAGCCTGTAGATTTGAAATATACTTAGGAGATCTATGAAAAAAAAATCAAAGGGGACAAAAAAGGAGCAGGGTATGGATAGAGATGGAGAAGTAGCAGGCTGATTACAAGGTGTCAAAATTGCCAGGAGCAAGAAGGTGAAAGCAATCAGGGGTGAGAAGAGTGCAGCATTCGTGAGGGGCAACTAATTATCCATCTCATTTGTGGAGGGAAGCATTTGAGGCAGCTCTAGTCCACTGAATGGTGACAGATTGGTGCGGAGGAGAGGGGAGGTGTTAGAACAATGGAGCCCAGCTCACCATCATTACTGCATGCTAATCAGCAGTGCTTCTGCACCACCAGTCCGTGCTGGAGAGAGTTTGGGGAGACAGGGAAGTCACCGGCTTCAGGGGACTTCATTCATTTCCAAGAAGGGGGAGAAAAAGGGAGAAAATTGACACGAAGCATCGCCTGTTGGCGCTGTACCACTGCTTATTTGAGCACGCTGGTTATCCTGTGCAGACTGATCTTTGCGGCCTCCCCATTAGCTTGCGCTTGCGAGATAATTGTGCTATGAGTGTTCAGTTTTAACAAGCGCCAAGAGGAATAATAGTTCACTGAATGACAGAGAGCAAAATAAGTGTTCACTCAAGTTTTACTAATGATCAAAAAAATTTATGGAATACACTGTAAGATTTGGTGAATTCTACGATACTTCAAGGCTCACTATATATTTTCAATATGTGTGCAAATAGTATAAAAAGTTAAATATGACTTGATGAAATAATCATATTGCAAAACTGCAGCAAACACTATTTAGGCATAAACTGTATGATATTCCACTGCAAAGCACATCCTTGTTGCTGAAATAAACTTGCCTTGCCTTTGAAAAACAGTCATCATTTTTGCCTTTGCTGAAATAACGTAGCATGCACTATGTTTAAATACCCTTCATAAGAAATTGTATTTGTAACATTTGCACATTGTTTAGATTTTGACATATGGAAATAAGCAAAGATAGTGAATATATACCCACTATGTTTAGTTGTACTTTTCGAGTGGCTCTTGCACAGAAATGAAAAGTGCTGTTACATTTGTAACAACATGAGTGGCACTTCTTAAGTTTTCCGCATTGTGACTGATCAAGTTGTTTTGCAACTGGAAATATTGTCAGATATACAAATTTGGTTTTTTTTGTTTTTTTTAAGTGTGAGAAAAAATTGCAGCCAGCTGATCAGCAGTGTCCAGTACAGGTGGAAGAGGCAGCTCTGGAGTATCTCCAGAGAGCAAGGGTCTTCAAATCCAGGCCTCGAAGGATGGCATCCTGCAACTTTGAGATGTTACATTACTTTCTGTCCTTTCTGTCTGTTACATTTAGTTCTCAATGATTTCCATGGACTATTTAATTTGTCACTTTATATGTAACAAATTAAATAGTGATAAAACAGAGTGAACATTTTATTATGAATTTTGGTAATTACCAGCTGCTATTAGGTGTTGTATAACTTAGGTATAAATTAGGTAAATCATTTATTGTATTTCTTGATCCACATATTCGTGCATGTTTCAAGTAATTAGTGTGTACAATCTAATGTTTGAAAAACATTCATAATTAAAAAAAGAATCTTAAGTGAAACAAACATAAGTTATTTTTTGGAGGCCAGTAATTGGGCTATAATTGCTGTGGACAATAGACAGATAACACACCACTCCACAACATTATTATCTTCAACAATTACTCTTAAATATTTCACAAATGTTTTCCAGGCTGTGCCATTGCCAAGAAGATACAACACAAGTTGAAGGGGAAAAAAAACAACAACACAAAAA